ACAAGGGAAAAAAAAAAGGTGATGGTAATCAAACATGATGCCTGGCTGTAGAGAAATACCCCTTCCTCCTTCCTTCCTAAGACCCCTCCTCATTCTTTAGGCCCCTCCCCTGCCCCAGCCCTGCCATCCACAGCCATTTTCTCTATGCCCTGGACTGTGGGTATGGCCTCTTCAAGGAGTGGCTATACAGCAAGTAGAGTCCTTAAGGGACAGAATTACTGTGCCATTTTAATAGTTTTAAATGCTACTTAATTACTTTAGTAGCTTAGGCTATGGAAACAGCTAATAGTTGACATGCAAGATAAAATCTTCAAGTTTAGAAAAAAAAATCAGAAGATGTAATTAACACATCATAGCCTGTGACATTGTTTCATTTCCAGCTGCTTAAAGACAATTATATTGGTGACATTCAGAAAATGAGGTCACAAAATAATGCAATTTTTATTAATTAAACTTAAGAGTTTTAATGTCCCATTAAAAAGCAACTAATAAGCACAGGTCAGGTGACTCAGGTGTCACTTCTGTCATCAAGACACTAATACTTAAAAACTTAGAGACAAGACTTCTGAAAAGGCATTCACAGCATGGCCTGGAGCATCGGGACCCAGGTCAGGAAGGTTAACAACCTATATGTCAATCACAGTCACTGGGGTGGGCTTTAAAGAGGCCCAGGTCTGATGGTTTTCACATCTGCAAAACACGATAGGAGAGAAATAACAACACATTAGGAAATCAGCAAACAATCACTGTATTGTTTTTGGAAACAGAAGATTAATAAGAGTTTAAAATTCAAATGCTTTTGGTGACAGGAAGGTAATATAAAGGTGAGAAGAGACTGGAGATAGGAAAACAGGAAGGGGCTGCAACTATTTAACTTGGGGATGCATACCCCACCCCCCCATCTTTTAATTCTTGTAAAAATTTTAAATACAGTGCTGGTCAAACAAATTCAGGGCCTTTTTTTTACCTTCGAGGTCACCGGTTTGAGGCCCTTAACTTTTACCAATATCAGGCCTAAGGCCTACACTCCCGGGGTTTGTAATTTGGGGTGGGACTCTAAGTCCTAAAGGAGTTAACTGCCCAGAACAGAGTCGTTTAACCATTAAAAGTGATAGGGCAGTGGGCAGGCAAGTCAACAGTATAAGTAAAGTTTACAAATGTTTAAACAGCAATTGGAGCACCAGTTAACATGGGAACAGGAGAACGGTAACTTGTCTTGAATATAGGACTATGGCTCCTTAAACACCCCCTTAGTAGGGGCTGGACTGGGAAGGTGGGTCAAGGGGCCCCGTGCCTAAAACCTGGAAGGACACACAGCATAAAGCTAAGCTCCCTGGGACAGATGCCACCTTTACACATGAAAAAGAGTTCAGTATTACTCTATTTAAGAAGTAAAGACATTTGCTTCATCTTTGACTCTTCACAATGACTTTTGAAACTTTCTATCCCCCGCACCCCCCCTACAAACACACCAAGGTGCAAAAGCAGCCAAAACCCGCCATACATTAAACATCGCGCTAGTAAATGACACTTCATTAAACAGTGCTTAATTGTTTTACATTTGCAAACGTCCACATTTCTTTTTGAGAGCTATGAGTACTATTTGCGAAATGCAAATTCTAATAATATGCACATTTTTCAAACCATTGTTTTGAACCTCTTTAAAATGCAGACACAAATTCTAAAGAGAAGAGGGGTCAGGGTGGCAAGGTGGGTAAAAGGGGCCTGGGGACTTACTGAAAGGTGTAATTATGATTAGCACACGTTATCCATAGATTGACTTGTTGGGGGCTGGGGGGAGGGGTGATTGGTGGGGTGTGACAGGTTTTTGGGAGCCAGTGCTTCTAAAAGCCCCTGTAACAGTCCTGGCTCATGGTTTCTAATATATGGAACCAGGTTTTAAAATTTCTTCATTTAGTTAGAAACATAAATAGCGATTGGCAGTTAGCTATAAATTTGTTTTATATAGATATTTTTGAATGCCAGCTAAAACCTTCAATCTATATTTTCTCATGTAACCACTTTGTTACATTACACAAATTTTAAATGACAATTATGTACCATTAAATAATCCACTTGCCCCAAATTTAAATAATTAGCTTTTGCTTTTTAGTTTATAAAAAAGATAATTATTTTCAGTGTTTTGAATTAATTTAGTTTCTTTGAATTATAATTACTGCTTACATTATTGGAGCTTAAAAATGCTTTTTTTTTTTTTTTAAAGATCCTGTTGAATAAGAGGGAGATAAGGCAAGCAATGTCTTGGACAACCCAGGACAGCAAAACACCATAGGAAATAGCCAGGAGCAAAAAACCAGAAGACAACTGCAGACACCAAGGAAGACACTGAATAAACCAGTTTACTCTGGTCATTTAACACTTATTTGTGCCTACAATGTGTCAGGCACAATTATGTAGGCAAGTTAGCCAGGGCTAATCCCCTAAAATTCCAAGAAAAAAATCCAGATAAACACCTCATCCTTGCTCAGAGGCCAAGCCAGTAGCACCAACAAAGTCACTTAAAACTCCTGTGAAACAAAGTTCAAGTTGTTCTTTATTTTGTAGCCACCAAAGCGTCTGATTCCGGTAGGTCCCACCACAAAGGTCCACTAGTGTGTCAAAAAGAACTTGAGTTTTTTAGTTTTAAAAAATTAAATTTTTAATTTTAATTTTTTAAGGTTTAAAAAATCTTAAAATTTAATGATGTTAAAAGCATTTAAAATATTTTTTCATTTGCAGTAAAAACGTTTAGCTAGATTGCCTTTAGAGGCGCCAGCCACGTCAGCTTGGAAGCACCCTTCATAAGCCACTATCAGGAGTTTAAATTGTGGGATTATGTTGTTTAACATATGCAAAGTTCTTATTAATGCCATGTATAATTACTATTGTTGTTAATTCTTATTTATTTTTCTTATATTTATTAGACACTGGTGGATAAAAAGCAAAACCGGCGCAGAAGAGAAACCGCAGCAGCGAAACCGCAGGAGAGCTGGGCTGTGCAGCCAGGCGCAGGCAGCGAAGACGCAGGCGCAAAGGAGGGGTACCTGATGGGAGGGGTACCTGATGGGAGGGGTGGGGGCCCACACTGCGCAGGCGCAGGTGGGCCCTGGGGAGGTGGGGCCATAGGCCAGCCCAGAAGAGGCTGGTTCAGGGCGGGGCCAAGTTTTGAGAGGTGCGGTCTGGAGGAGCCACTCCAGAGAAGGGGGGCTCAGAGGGAGGAGGGGTCTAGAGGAACCGCCTCAGAGGAGGCGGGCTCGGGGAGACGCGGGGTCTGGGGAGGCAGGGTCTAGAAGGCGCGCTCTGGGAAGGCGCGCCGCAGAGGAGGCGCGCTCTGAGTAGGTGCTGGGAGGTGCTAAGCCTGTTCCTAGGAGATACTGCAGAGAAGGCGCGCTAGGATGGGCGGGGCAGGTCTGAGACTGGCTGCATGCCTCTCCCAGGATTCCCCCCTCCCCAAGCACCTCCCACCAGCCTCCAACAGGCAGATTCATTTCATGCAACAAGAGCAATCACCCCCAGATCCAATCCCCCCACCACCACCCCGCGCCTTCCAAGACTAAGCAAACCAGTTTCCACAAACTGTTGCTGGACGCCAATTCGCGCCACCACTACAACTATACCACCACTTCAATCAAGCGCAACTAGGCAAGGCAGCCCGCTCTGCCACCACCAAAAGATTTTTTACGCTCAAGTCAGCGCCCTTCTACTCCACTGCCATAGCAGGAATGGTGTGGGCAGAATGTTAAACACTAATTTTTGCCCAGGGCTCCATTTTGTCTAACAGCACCATCATGCAGAGAACCGTCCTGTAGAAAAACATAGTGGGAGCCATTCCAAAAGGTGTGTAAGAGACAAAGGGTGGGGTTCCTCCAAGAAGACAGAGTAATCTTACTCTTCAGTTCATGTGCACTTCAGCTGGTTTCTTTGTAGCGCAAAACAGTGCAGCTTGTGTACCTCTGCAGCTGTTATTACTTTGTAGCGCATTTTAGGTGTAAATTGTTCCGCAGCTCATGTACCTCTGCGGTTCCTGTCTTGGAGCGCAATGAAGCGCTGTTGTGCTAATCGTTATCATTTTTGTAGAGCTGATCTTCTACAGCTCAGATTTTGTAGCGCATTTACAGCGCAAATCAGTCATCAGTCTGCGGCTCACATATCGTTGCAGTTCATACTGGTTCTAGCGCAAAGAAGCATCCATCAGTCTGTAGCGCATTGAAGCGCCCATCCGTCCGTAGCGCATTTGAAGCGCTCATCAGTTTGTAGCGCATTTGAAGCGCCAATTAGTTTGTAGTGCATATCACTTTGCAGCGCATTTGCAAATTGGTCTGTAGCTCATGTCCGTCTACAGCTCACGTTTGTCCGCAGCTCATATGTGTCTACAGTCCGTATCTGGACTTAGGTTCTGGAAATCAAAGCCCTGAAGGCTTGGTTTCTCCATGCAGTTTTGGGGCACAGCCAGTGAAGGCGTGACAAGGTGTGCGTGGAGACATTCCAGGCGCTACTCCATCTCCCGCAGCTTCTGATAAGAAGGGGGAATGAATGTGATCTTAAAAAAAAAAAAGAAACATCCTCACCGCATACTCACCACGCGAGGACTCCTCTGCGAAGACACTAAGGATGGGGTCCCACACCTGTGCCAGGCGTGGGCTCCGCTGGGTGCTCGGCAGCCCGGAGTGGCTCCGGACGCGAGCCCGCTCAGCGGACCTTTCGCGAGGCTCGGTGGTCCCTCTCCGCTGGTCTCCTCAGGTCGTAGTCAGGTTTCTTCGACACACACCAACCGAAGTTGAAGCGCGTGTACCGAGAGCGACGACTGGGAGCCTTATATAGGCTGAACGGAGGAGGGGGGCGCCAAATCCCAGCGTGCTTCGCGGGTTAGGGGGGCGGAGGGGGGAGCGGGGGCGGAGGGGATGGGGGATGGTGGATGGGGGGGTGGGGGAGATGGGGGTGGGGGCGATGGCCACGCTACACTGGCCCGCCGCTAGAGGGAGCACGGGATTAAGGAGGGGGTGCAGGATGCTGATGCTGAACTGGCCAAGCTGAGAGGAAAGAAGAAAGGGAGGGGAGTGGAGAATCGAGGACGGCCGGCCTAGGCAGGCCAAGAATGCAATTGCCCTGGTGGTGGGAGCTGGGAGACCCTTGTGCTTGGACGGGACAGTGTCGGGGGACACGCAGGATGAGCCCCGCAACCACTGGCACCTTCTTGCTGACAGGTTAGTGGCCCGCGCGCGACGGGAGGTCCTGGGGCCAACAGGCCGCCGCTTCCCCATCCCCCGCCCGGGTTTTGGGTACCCGGGTGCATTTTCTGGGCATCAGCCCCTCTTGCTGCGGAATCCCCGGTGCACCCCTCCTCCAGGACGCCCCGCACCCCACTTCCCGGGCCCTGTACGTCCCCTACCAGGCTTGACCCCTGGCCTTTTTTCTCCGCGCCCCCTACGGGCCCCTCCCTGCCCAGAGGCGCCGAAATTCCATCTCCAATTTCCATTCCCATTGCTCCCCCACCCCACCCCCAGCAGTCCTGGTGGTGAACCTCTCCCGATCCCTGCCTGAAAGAGCTGGGGGTCGTTGACCATTTGGGGGGGGGGTTGTGGCTTACCCCGCGAATGGGGCTCTGCGGCCCAGAGGCGCGCTGTAGGAAATGGGTGTCAAGCTGCGCCCCCCCTCTACACAAACGCATCTTTTTTTCCTTTTCTTGAATCCGATCTGGAGAGAACACAAAAATGTGCATTTGAAACGCCTAATTCTCCCCTCTTTCTAAGAGAATTTCTCGGCGACGAAAATCTCATTTTTCTTAGGTTTTGCGGAGCAGGGAAAAGGAATCATGAAACGCTAGGAACCAAACAGGGTGTTGAGGTCAGGGTTAACCTCGGCTGGGGGCCAGAGATGCTGCAAACAGAACGGTTTGCCCCACCAAGTGCACTATTTCGAGAAAGCAAAAACAATTAGAAACAGCTGTGGATGCCTCCAGTGTAGTTGGCGGGCTTCGGAGGCTCCCAGCTACGGCCTTGTGGTGGTGATTACGAGGTTTACGCAGAGACCTAGATCTCTCTGCAACATTACATTTTTCTAAATCTTGTAGGGTGAATGAATACATTTAGTCACGGTTACCGCACGTTTAATCCTTTGAAGCGTGTTGCCGAGATTCGGCCGCAAATATTTGTGTATATTTATACGTATAAACATATATATTTTACGTTAGAGAAAATCGCAGTGAGTTACAAGACTTTAAAATACTGGAAGGAAGGATGCTGGAAAAAAAGCCTTAACGTGGGTTTCCGTTTAAGTGCCTCAGAGTGTTACGCACTGAGGAAAGGGACAATCTGTTGATAATCTTAGTAAAAGAAGTTTAAAATGAAAAACCAATTGCCTACAACTGAGTGAGGTTCCTGAAACACAGATGAGACACATTTGTATATAAAGGCTAAAACTGAGCATATTTCAGTAACATTGCTACAGATTATTTTATACATAGAGGATAGATAAGAATTTGACCCATTGTAGGAGGATAGATAAGAATTTGACCCATTGTAGATGATACGATGGCAGAGATCTCACTTAAAGCGAGCCTTTCTAGGAGTAAACAGAACTGTAGCACATTTATTGAGATTCTACTTTTTAATCAGAAATAAAATGTTGACTATCAGATATGTGAATGAATGAAGTGCAGATTTCCAACACTGAAAGATATTTTTCTAGGAAGTTGGGTGAACATAATTATACTGTTTAGAAGTGCCTAGTGCCTTTTAATGTTTAGGATGTTCACTCTTTTCTGCAATGTAGAATTTCAGGATTTCTTATGTATGCTAGAGTACTGTTCTGGTGACCACCGGACTGTCAAATTCTTAGCATTTTTAATCCAGGAAAGTTACTTCATCTACTTGTTTGTTAACTGATAGACATTCTTTTTTCTAAAAAATGAAATTAAAAAATAGTATAGGTGATAGAGAAAATTCAGGTTTAAAAATCTATCCCAAGACTTTTAAAGTTTGAACAAGTTTGAACCTATTTGAATTTTTATTTCAAAATGTTAGCCAGGATTTTTTTTGGTGGGGGGGGGGGGTGTGTGGAAAAAAAACAGCTTTAGTATTATCCTTATCATAATAAAAGTAATTCCTATTCATTGTACAAAATTTAGGGAAGAAAAACTCCAGAAACTGGGGGGAAAAAATCAAGAAGAAAATCAAGATCACCTGTAATCTCTTCATCCTGCGATAACCCCAGTAAACATTATGGGCTCTACTTTATCTGTGCATATATATGTGCCTAAATAATATACATTTTTCACAGAGTTGCACGTGTATAATTTCTAAAAATTGAAAATGGGATCAAATTAATTTCCTCCATTTTTTTCTCTTCAAGGAGCCTTAACTATCTAAATAACATTAAATTTGCAGAGTTTTTTTTAAAAGGAAATAGTATTAATTACTTTTTCTAATTAAAATTTTAAATGAACAACATTGGTACGGAAATATTTAAAACCAAAGAATAGAGAGTTTCCTCTGATCTCACTATTCTAACATACACATAGTAATCATGTTATATTTCCTTGTGTTTTTTATTCTTCTACATATGAAATAATTTTTGCTCAGAAATAGATTTTTCTAAGGAAAAAACAACATCAGTAGATAAGTAGTTTTGATAAAACTTTTTAATCTAAAGCAGCAAAACAATGTTAAACATAAAAACAAAAATACAATGTTAATAGATAAATACTTGAGATAACATGTTACCTAAAACAACAAAACTACATTTAAAACCACCCCCCAACTTAATAGACAGGAATTTAAAACACTTTCTTGACATTTGATATCATGAGTGAATTTTGGATTTTCTCAGATATTTGTTCCCATTATTGTTTGTTTCTTAACCCGTTTTGCACAAGATTACACGCAAAGCAAAAAGAGGTGCTGATGTGCATTATATACTTTATCAAATAATAACTAGGCATTGTATCTAAACATTTTAATCCATTTTTATGAGAATTTCCTGTGGATCTATGAAGCTGTTGATTTACCACCTGTATTTTAACTTCTAGTGTAGTGGGAAAATTGTATTTAAAAACAAAGTGGGATTTTCACTTGTCAAATAACAGCTAGAGTTTCTAATTGGACGTTTTATTTATTTAAGACAATTTGCCATGTATCTGTGAAGCTGTTGATTTGCCTTATATGTTCAGCTTAATTTCTTGGGTGGTGGGAAAATTGTATTCCAAAACAATAAAGTTGAATTTTCACTTGTCAAATAATAACTGGACTTTCTAGTCGGACATTTTATCTATTTTAGATGGCAGTTTGCTGTGGCTCTATGAATCTGCTGATTTACCACATGCATTTGACTTACCTTTTAGTATATTAGGAAAAATTTATTTCTAAGCAAAGTAAAATTTTCAGCTGTCAAATATTAACTGGACTTAGTACTTCATCATTTTATCCATTTATTATAAGAGTTTGCCATAAATCCAAAAACTGTTGCTTTACCTCATATATTTAGTTTAAATTCTAGTATGGTGGACAAATTGTTTTTCTAAGCAAAGTGGAATTTTCACTTGTCTCTCAGACATTGAAAATTAGCAAGGGACAGTGAGAAAACCGATGAGAGAGAAAAGTAACACGTATCCAGTTTCTAGCACTGGTTTTCACTGATAAAAACCATGCTCCAAACAAAGTGTTGAAGCATTGAAGAAACCCTGACATGTTAAAAAATTCTCAATCAGATATACAGATTGGTTGGGATTGTAATAAGTGCAGTATTTATGGATCACATTTTCTCCAAAATAACTAGCTACTTTGTTTCTTTTTCTTTTTTACTAACTGTCCACACTTACTCTATCTGATCCCTTTTCTTAAAACTTACCGTTAAGTCAGTTCTAAACACCGAAGTGTAAATTCCATTGTTGGTCTTATTTCCTACTCTTAGTGTAAAAAGGACTGTAAGTGAATAGATGACATGGGTTTATGTGTCCGTTAGAGATTCTTGGTCTGGAGCTCTGTTTAAGTCCAGAGCTTCACAGAAATATTAACATTGTGATTTTTTTCTTTCTATCCTTTCCAATCCCTCCATCAGAGACAGAGAGACAGGCATGATAGAAAGACAGATACACATGGGTAGGCAGATAGACGGACAAACATGGACAGATAGACAGACACTTGGGCACACACACATGCATGACATCCAGGCTTTTTCTAAACTTTAGGATCCAGTTCTCCAGTTTGCTATCTCCCTGATTTCTAAAAATATTAAGCCAAAAGCATCAGTGCATAATTCAGAAAAGGAAGCTGGTGTTCCTAAAGATCAACAAGTATTTTTCAGGTTGGTAGAATCAGATAGAGTCTCAATGCTCTTAAAGTTGTTCCACGTGAACTGCTTCCGAACTGCTAACAAGCAAAATTCTGTCTAAGCAAAATTCAGTTTTTTTAAACAATGTAACTATAGTAAAGACAGTATTGAATAAAAAACAATCTCCACCATCTGACACTAGAAGAAACATTTCCATTGATGTTCCTTCCCTTCTAGTCTTTGTTCCATGTGCATATATATTTTTACATGACTATAATTTTAATATGTGTAGATTTTTTACACTTTGAAAGATAAGTGAATCTTGCTTTCAGCTAAGCATTTGTCAAGGCTTCAGGATGCTCTTGTGTGTGAGATGCTGTGTTAGACTAGCAGGATTGCTTTGTGAGCATGAGGCAGGCTGAGCCAGTACCCACCAGGTGTGGGGTTTACTGGGTTTGGGTCTGGGAGCAGTCCCTCGTGAAGGATCACAAGTCTTTGCCCTAGGTCTTCGCTTTTTCAACATTTTTATGGATAACTGTGATGAAGATCTAAGATGCTTGCTTTAAAACCCATGGTTGACTTGAAAAAAGGTTAACTGTTACAAATAGATAACAGAATTTAGAGCTAACAAGGTTTAAGTAGGCTGTAGTGCTATTCAAAAATGTATTTTATAGCAGTAAATGCATCATAATTCATTGGTGTGTAAGGAAGGAGGTGACTTTACATGGTGGCAGTTTTTGAGGAAAAGGACAGTTAGTATGAACTGGTGGCATAACATGGCTACAAAAATATCAAATTTAGATTCCGATAATAGTGTAGTGTCCATATGTCACAAAAATTAACAGTACCCTGCTCTAATTAACCACATCTGTAGTATTGTGTCCATTTCTGGCTGTCACGTTTAAAGAGAGACATTGACAAAGTAGACAACTTCCAG